ACTCAAGCCTTAAACCTTAAACTAAAAAAAGACAGAAAACAAGAAACACGAAATAATGAACACATTGTAGATCAGGCTTAAAGCTTAATGTGCTCTTTGCTTTCTGTTTCTTTCTTTTTATCTCTTTTAGACTTAAACTTTAAACCCTAAAAAAAGGCAGAGAATAAGAAACAGAGAGCAAAGAGCGCATAGATCAAACTTTAAGCCAGAAGAAGATAGAAGACAAGAAACAGAACGCAAAGAGAATATTGCAGATCAGACTTTAAGCCTAACCTACAATGTACTTTTTGCGTTGTTTCTTGTTTTCTGTCTTTTTCTGGCTTAAAGCTTAATTTACAATGTGCTCTTTGCTTTCTGTTTCTTTCTTTTTATCTCTTTTTCGACTCAAACTTTAAACCCTAAAAAAGGCAGAGAATAAGAAACAGAGAGCAAAGAACACATAGATCAAACTTTAAGCCAGAAGAAGACAGAAGACAAGAAACAGAACGCAAAGAGCATATTGCAGATCAAGCTTTAAGCCTAATCTACAATGTACTCTTTGCGTTGTTTCTTGTTTTCTGTCTTTTTCTGGCTTAAAGCCTGATTTACAATATGCTCTTTGCGTTCTGTTTCTTGTCTTCTATCTTTTTCTGGCTTACAACTTAAGGTTTGAGTCAGAAAGAGATAAAGAGAAAAAAGCAGGAAGCGAAGAGCATATTGTAGATCAGGCTTTAAGCTTAATTTACAATGCGCTCTTTGCTTTCTGTTTCTTTCTTTTTATCTCTTTTCGACTCAAACTTTAAACTTTAAGAAAAAGGCAGAGAATAAGAAACAGTGAGCAAAGAGCACATTATAGATCAAACCAGAAGAAGACAGAAGACAAGAAACAGAACGCAAAGAGCGTATTGTAGATCAAGCTTTAAAAGCGGCGTGTAAACGCTCCGTGAACGCGACACAAAACGTGACGTGTGCGCGCACGTGTGTGCGTGTGTGGATGTGTGCATTAACGTGTATGTAATTGAGACTCGCTTCGATGAATATGCATGGACTTCGTTACGTCGAAAGATGCAGTCGCATTCCTCGGATAGGAATGATAAAGAGAACTGGATCTCACAGTATGTGGGAGGGAGAGGAAGGGTGCGGGCGTTGACGGATACATCGAACAAAGATTTCTCGATCGGTTGTTTCCGATGCAAGAGCAAAGGAGAGGGAACCGCATGTGCCCTCATTGCGTTCCCTTCCAGGGTCGCGTCAACTTGAGAATGCTAATGATATGCCAGCGCGTGGCGAGTCATAAAGAAAATCAGCTTCACAGTCGACTAATTGGACTAGTATAACATTACAGCATAACGCGTTAAGACAAAAAGAAAAGAGATCGTCGTGTAATTTGTATATTTAATAGATTTCGCGTGCTCAGCTGCAGCGTGAGATAAACTTAGCCTGAGCTAAGTCAAGAAACATGAGTGATTTAACGCATAACTAGAAGGATATCATGTCGTAGTTCTCGTTTTCCTATGAACTCCTTTCGAGTTCACTGTGTTTCTGCACCGAGAGAAAGGATATTTAAGAAATACAGAAATATTTACTCGTTCAATTCACATGGACTCAGTGTGTCCACGGCAGGTTAATATAAAATATTAAAAAATTTTTTTTCAAAATTTTTTTCTAGTTCGTTTATATCCCACCAAACATTTGATTGATGCAAACATTTTTTCAATCAAAAAATAGGAAAAAGGGCAATTCGAGTTCAAGCACAGGACTAATAGTGCTATATGGGTAAAAAACCTTCCTTGTGTTAGGAAATCGTTTTAGAAATAATTTGACAGATATTGCTTATTCTTGCACTAATAAATTATCAGGTTTTATTCGTGTGCATAAAGACAGGTTGCCTCTTGGTTTCCATAATAACGTTGTATGTAGGTTGCAATGCAGTGGTTGTGATGCGTCTTATGTTAGTCAAACTAGTAGAAGACTCTCTACACGTATTGCCGAACATAGGAGAATTCCTAGGAGTTCTATGGTGGAGTTAATAGCCATTCAGGAACATCGTTTGAGGAAGAATCATGATTTTGATTGGGATCATGCCAAAGTTTTACATGAAGAATGCTTTTACCTAAAACGCCTGATCTCAGAAATGATTTTCGTCAAATTTCAGAAGCATGGTCTTAACTCACAAAAGGATACTGAATATTTGGGCACCAGCTACTGCGGCTTGTTATGAAAATAAACTTTGTTTTGGTTTTCTTCTCTTCCACAAGTCGTTTTCGCAATGTTAATGCTAGGTATATAAATCTGTAATTATTTGTATTTCGTAGACGTGGCGATGTTATCGTTGACAGGATCGGTTTACTTTTAGCTCAACAAAGATATTTTATATTGTCAGTTTTAATTATTTATTATATTTTAATTTTACTTATTTTTTAAATTTTATTTTATGATTTTTATAGTTATGATGGCTCTTCTCAATATTAATTAACTACTTAATATTATTTCTGTAACGGTCTTGTCAGCTTTAATATTGCGATTAACATTCATGTCAACTTACGCAGATCTTTAACTAATTGTAATGCGTTCGTGTCGTAAACCTTGAGTTTTTATTATCACTGAGGGTTCATGGTTGAGCCGAAACGTATGATTGTTTTATATTGATTATTCATGTTCAATAAATATTACACGATTTCCTAACACAAGGAAGGTTTTTTACCCATATGGTATATAACACTATTAGTCCTGTGCTTGAACTCGAATTGCCCTTTTTCCTATTTTTTGATTGATATCTTCGTTTGCGAGTTCTTATTTCTTTCTCTAAACATTTTTTCCGTAAAGAATTTATATTTAAGTAAATATGTTAATATTCGTTGAATAAGTATTTCTTATTTCTTAAATATTTTCTCTCAGTGTTAGCAGGAGTAAACTGTTAGTGAAGGAACATGATGAATTTCGCTCAAAGCATAATACATTTCTTAAAAGCATATTTTAGCATCTTAGCACGTTTCTAAAATATAAATAGAAAGGTTACATATAATATAAAATGAAAGGATAATCGACGAATGCCGACGTATTTCTCTTACAAAATCCTGTAATACATTTCTCGCTCAAAGCATAATATATTTCTTGAAAACATATTTTAGCATCTTAGCACGTTTCTAAAATATAAATAGAAAGGTTATATATAATATAAAATGAAAGGATAATCGACGAATGCCGACGTATTTCTCTTACAAAATCCTGTAATACATTTCTCGCTCAAAGCATAATATATTTCTTGAAAACATATTTTAGCATCTTAGCACGTTTCTAAAATATAAATAGAAAGGTTATATATAATATAAAATGAAAGGATAATCGACGAATGCCGACGTATTTCTCTTACAAAATCCTTTAATGATTTTTGCCATAAAATTCTCCCTTCGTGTACAATATCGTAGGCAACTTTTTCGTCTTGTCGACTTCGCAGTCATAAATTGCGTATCACGAATTCGCGTCGGAGCGATGATTTAACCGAACGCGGCCCTGTCCTTTTTTTTTGCAGCCGTAGAGAAAACGTTCTTTGATCGCGGTAACACGCGCGTGTAGCGCGCGCACACGTGATAGCCGCTGGTTGCGTCGCGTGCTCTCGCGCGAAATACAATCGTAAAATGCGCGGATACGCGACGGATAATAGAAAGTGATCTTCGGGGATAGATAAGGGAAACGCGCGCAGGAGGCGGCCGGCGCGCGTGAGATCGTGGAAATAAGAAGAGAGCGGCAACCTGGATTGCTTCCAAAACTCGTGTCCCACCTTGCAGAGAGCGGCCTCGAGAGAAGGGAAAATTGTAAGCGGCGGTGACTTTTGATGACGTTCGGCCGAAGGCGCGTTTAATCTTTCCGCGTGACAAGTCGCCGTCTGTCGTTACAGAAATGCGGATCGACTTTAATTGAATTCGTGGAATATTTTAAAAGGTTCTCGGCACACCACATCCCTTTTGCACATGGAAAATGCATCTTGCATTCAAGCCAATGTTACTTGTTTCATGTATAAAGCCTGATCTACAATGTGTTCTTTGCTTCCTGTTTCTTGTTTTCTGCCTTTTTTAGTTTAAAGACTGATCTACAATATGCTTTCTTGTTTTCTGTTTTTCTAGCTTAAAGTCTGATCTACAATGTATTCTTTGCTTCCTGTTTCTTGTTTTCTGTCTTTTTTCAGTTTAAGGTTTAAGGTTTGAGTCACAAAAAAGAGATAAAGAAAAAGTAACAAGAAGCAAATAACACATTATAGGTTAAGCTTAAGGTTTAAGGTTTGAGTCAGAAAGAAATAAAGAATAAGAAACAGGAAGCAAATAACACATTATAGATTAAGCTGAAGGTTTAAGGTTTGAGTTAGAAAGGATAAAGAAAAAGTAACAGGAAGCAAATAACACATTATAGATCAAGCTTTAGTATCTCTGTTACGATTTTCCACCTTTTTGTATAAATTAAATAAAAATTATTATACTTTCTCCGCAAACCTATCATAAGTTAATTACGAACATTAAATTCAAAGTACATTCTAAATCCTAAGAAGGTTTTTATTTCAATTATGAATATTTAATATTAGTATATTTTTTTTTTAGTTTTTCATATGCTGCTTTTCTATCTACAAAATATTCTTTCGCTTTCACTTATACATTACCAGCGCGCTCATTTTACATAATTTTTCTCTGATCCCCGCTCTCTCTCCTACATTTATCTTAATATACTAAGGGCCGGTTTTCAATGATAGTTTAAACTTAGATTTCAACTTAAACTCTGTTTAAACAAAATAAACATATTGTTAGAATAGAGTTTAAACTTGAATCCAAGTTTAAACTGCTATTGAAAAACCGGTCCTAAAGCAATTCACACACCACGTTAATCAAATATTCGCACTGTTATAAACTGATTGTTGAAAACAGCCATTGCTTAAAAGAGGGAAAGTAATTTGAGTGGTCGCTTTCCTTAGCAACGGGACGATATTTTTCTGCGTGTGCTAATCGCGACGGTTTCGACATTTCTGCTTTCAGGTGTCTAACAGTCGGTGGTAACTGAAGGCCGACGACAGCATGAGGAACTCGACGTTACTGAAATGGGCGCAGAATTCGGCGAACAATAAGAATCAGCCGAGCAAAAACGGAGGTGAGTAACCCCGACGGGCTCTCTCTATGCGACCGGTATTGGCAAATATGGCCAGCGTGACGAAGGTTGAAAACCATCGCGACTCTTGTTCGCAGGAACGAGTAGGAACTGGATACACCCACCGGACGCGCTCCAAAAAGGACATATCGCCTACCTAGTCAAGGTACTGTGTAATCTCTTTACTATGAGCACACACTCTCGCGAGTCATAAAAGAAGTCAACGCGATGATATCGCGTGACTGTCATTTTCACGCGTCCTGGTGTATTCGTTAGCGCGGTTTTGATAATTGGCCGTAGCTACGCAAGAATGATCCAACCGACACGAAGTACGTTTCGCGACAAAAGATGAAGTTGGAAATTGTCTACATGATTTCAAAAGTACAGACAGTTCTAACAAGTAAACCTAAGAGGTATACTCCGATTTCTTTCTAATTTGGCACAAATGTAGAAGTACAAAAAATATTTAGGTTATATTTTTTCATTTTAGCCCATACACACTTTGAGTTTTACGGGCAGTTTATAGCTTTTTAATGTTCTCACTCCTATCATCAAGTGCAACAAAAATGCATAAGAAATAAAATTGAATACAAGATATAGGCGTTTTTGGTTTGCTGATTATAAACATGAAGTCAAATGTGTAAAATTATTTCTATAAATAATGAAATGTTTAAACATGTAAAAAGTTGAAAACAATTATTTATACAAATAATTTCTTGGTTTTGCCGAGATTCGAACCATTTTTGACTAATTTAGTACAGATTTGAAATATTTCGGTTTGAATATCGGCTAAAGAAATTTATAATGATTCATGTCTCAGCTATGCTGATTTTGTTAAAATTTTAATTAAATTTACCGGATTTCTCTCTTTCAATTTGGCCGAGATTCGAACTATTTTTGACTAATTTAGCACAAATTTCAAATATTTTGGTTGAAATCTCAGCTAAAGAAATCTAGAATAATTCGTGTCTCAGCTCTATGACGATTTTGTAAAAATTTTAATTAAAATTGCCAGATTTCTTTTGATTTAGCCGAGATTCGAACCATTTTTAACTAATTTAGCACAGATTTAAAATATTTTGGTTTGAATATCGGCTAAAGAAATTTAGAATGGTTCGTGTCTTAACTATGCCGATTTTGTGAAAATTATTTTACGCATTGTCCCTTTCTTTCTCTCTTTTCTTTTTCGATCCTAAACATGCCGCCCGCCTTGAAACAACGTTTCAAACGCATTCAAATAAATAATTGGGACGGACGGCGTGAATTACTTTACTATTGTTAAACCGAGTGCCCATTGCATTGAGCTGAAACGAAACGAGATTATCCTAGTTGAAATAATGATAAGCGCAATTGAACGACATGATAAAAAAAAAAAGAAAAAAAGGAACATAAATGAATAAAACAAAATAAAGAAACGCACGCAATGATAAGACGAGTCGCATCTTATTTACAATTAGTCGGTTCGCAATCGACTGGAAGGAGACAAAGTTTCACGATGGGTCGGCGATACTCCGAATTAGAGGTTCGGACAGTTATTACGCGTGTAAGATTATCCGCCCCGGGGTAGCATTGAGTCACCCGGCCGAGCTCCCACACTGAGAGAAAAAAATAGTTGGAATAACTATAATCTCACTATATTTTATAGTTCGTTTTGGCCTCAAACATATATTTATAGTTCATCTAAACATGAAGATATAGTAGAATGAACACAGATTTATAGTCACCATCTTATTACTCTATATATGTGGTAAAGCACCTTTTGGATATTCAAACCAAAATATTTTAAATCTGTGCTAAATTAAAAATGGTTCGAATCTCGGCTAAACCAAAAGAAATCTGGCAATTTTAATAAAAATTTTTACAAAATCGTCATAGAGCTGAGACACGAATTATTCTAGATTTCTTTAACTGAGATTCCAACCAAAATATTTGAAATTTGTGCTAAATTAGTCAAAAATAGTTCGAATCTCGGCCAAATTGAAAGAGAGAAATCCGGTAAATTTAATTAAAATTTTAACAATATCAACATAGCTGAGACACGAATTATTCTAAATTTCTTTAGCTAAGATTCAAACCGAAATATTTCAAATCTGTGTTAAATTAGTTAAAAATGGTTCGAATCTCGGCTAAACCAAAAGAAATCTGGCAATTTTAATTAAAATTTTTACAAAATCGTCATAGAGCTGAGACACGATTTATTATTGATATCGCGTTCGGTAATTTTCTGAAGGACTCTTGAAGCTTTCAATAGCGAGCTGTGAGATTCTTCCAAA